GTAGCAGGACTGAGCTGGCTGCGGGGGCTTTGGGACAGGGTGTGGGCACAACAAAGGCACGTGTGTGCAAAAGCACTGCAACCTCCAGGAAAAGGGAGGACAGCCTTGAATTTTTATAAGGAGGCCGGCACAGCCACCGCTTTGTGCTGCCTACGAGCAGGCTGACAATGTCCCCTCTCACTGCTGCCTGCTCGCAAAGAGGAGGAGTAGGAGGGAAAAAATGCCCAACGTTGTCCCCTCTGCCCTGCCTGTGCCAGCCATGTCCTGGGGGTGCAGGGGAGATGATGGTGGAGGTGACAGCCAGAGCATACTGTGGGTGCATCAGAATCATAGAATCACAGAATGGTTTGGGTTAGAAAGGATATCAGAGCATCCCTAGTGCCACCCCCTGTCATGGGCTGGTTGCCCCCACCAGATTAGGCTGCCCAGGGCACCACCCAGCCTGTCCTTGGGCATCTCCAGGGGTAGGATGTCTTGTTCCAATCTGTACTCATGGCTGGGATCGCCCTGACCCAAGTGTAACGCCTCACGCTTGGTCTTGATGAACCTCATTAAGTTCCTGTGGGTCCATTTTTACAGCCTGTCCAGGTCCCTCTGGTTGGCATCCCTTCCTTCTGTTGTACCAACTGCACCGCTCAGCTTGGTGCTGTCTGCGATCGATCCCACTGTCCATGTAGCTTATAAAGCTGTCAAAGAGCACTGGTCCCAGGACAGACCCTTGTGAGACAACGCCTATGGCCAGCATCTATCAGTACCAACATGGATCCCACATGGCTTTGGGCATTTATCTTTACTACGCAGGTCTCAAAGCATCAGTAATCAAGCACAGGGAGGAAGGAAGCTGTGAGCTCCCAAGATTCTCAGGTCTGCTTTAAAGTTTTCATGCGGTGCTACGATGTGGGGGCATCTGCACTTGTTCTGTTTGTTCCTTATCTCACCCAAAACACTGCTGCAACCCGGAGGAGCTCCTGCCTGCACGCACATACACACACAGGCATTGCAGGGAGGATGCAGGCGAGCACACGCTGAAATATTTAAATGTAGCACCGCACTCAGCCGGCGACCTCTGCATAATGAGAACCTCTCGCTGTTTCTGATCCTGTGAATTGCCCGTGGCCCCTGCCTTTGTTTTGCTGTCTCCAGCCTCCATATGCTCCATTTGCATCCTGAAGTTATTGATGGGCAAAAGTGAAGACGTACAGGGGCAGCAGGCAGCAGCTCAGCGAGCTTTTGGCTGTTGCAGAATGGGCAGCCTTGGGTCCAGCCCACTGCTGGTTCACACATTGGGCCAACTCCGGAGCAAAGCGGCTCCCTGTGGCTTTGCTCCCATCTGTTCCCAGCACCACACCAACCACGCTGCGTAACTCCTGCAGGGCTGTCACATCCTGTTCTTCCTTGGGAAGATGTCAGCGTGTTCCTATCGACGGCTCCGTCATGTGCTGGGGAGCAGAGGGTTTCACAGCTTGCAGGGAAGAAAATGGGCTGTGTGTGTTTTCCTGAAGGCGTTTTTGGGTGTTTTGCTGTACAATAGGACAAGAGGTAATGGCTTTAAGTTGCACAAGGTTGGATATTAGAAAGCATTCATCCTCTGAAAAAGCGGTGATGCGGTGGCACAGCTGCCCAGGGAGTGGTGGGGTCACTGTCCCTGGGGGTATTCAAGAGCTGTGGGGATGTGGCACTGAGAGACATGGGCAGTGGGCATGGTGGGGGTGGGCAGGGTTGGACGTGGGGATCTTGGAGATCCTTTCCAACCTTAATGGTTGCATGTTTCTATGTTTCTATTATTCAGTCAGCTGCCTGGAGTAGTCAGACCTCATCCTCCCCATTGGAGGTGTCCCACCAGCTCCATGACCCTCACTATCCAGATTGATACAAGTGCTTTTCCTTTCATGAAAAAATGACTAGATGCCCTGTCCCTGCAGGTGTTCAAGGCTAGGATGGATGGGCAGCCTGGTCTAGTATTAGCCTGTGGGTTGGAGCTTGATGATCCTTGAGGTCCCTTCCAACCCAAGCCATTCTTTGATTCTATGATTCTATGACTGGATGCTTTATTTTGACTAAACCATCTGAAATGAGGTGTTCTTCATTCCAGAAGGCAGATGATGATTTTTATCATAGAATCATTAAGGTTGGAAAAGGCCTCTAAGATCACCTCGTGCAACCATCAACCTATCACCATCATGCCCACTAAGCTAACCAAGTGGTTGCCTGTTCCTTCTTCCTTCTATAACATATTTTTGATTTCTTTGGTTGAATGTATGCTGTATATGACTGGTAATTGAATCCATGTTGATTTTCTTTCCACTCAAAGCCTCTTTTCAGTTATTTTGTTTCCCTTAATGACAGAAAGAAAAAATAAAAAAGAGTTTTGTGGTCTTCTCAGAGCTTCTTCCATAGTTCTTGTTCAACATCTTCCCCAACTTAATGTAACTGGCAAATCTCTGCTACTCTGCATATAGCTGTGCCTTTTCCTAGACCTAAAGGTGAGGAATTGTCACCCTGAAATAACTCAGCTGCTTTGTTAAAGGAAGGCATTTTCTGCTGAGGTACGAAGCATCTTCATCTCCTAATGATGCCAGTGAAAGCCAGAAGCAATCAGGGGGCTACCAGAATTGCATTTCTCAGTCATTACCTTATTGCTGCAAATACAGTTTTGGCCATCCTTCTGCTAAAGTGCCCATAATAACGACAACTCAACCGGCGTCTCAGCCAATCCTGACAACAGAGATCCTTTCAGCTTACAGAGCTAACGACTTCATAATTGCCCACAGCGTGCAGGCGTGGGAGAGGAGAGCATCCATAACCACACAGGCTTCTCACGGCTGGGAGGAAGGCAGTGCTGGGGTTAGCACTCGCACATCGACCCAACAGGATGTTGCAGGACATTGTTCCTTTTGCTGCATCTTCCTGACATCTGTGCCCGCCTGTTGTTTGGTTTCGGTGGACTTTTGTTTGGTTTTTCTTTTCTTTTTTTTTTTTTTTCATGCTGGGATGTCAAGGTTTTGGGGTTTCCAGCCTTTTGCTGAGGTCAGCCATCGCTAGGATGAAGGCAGCCTGGAGGCCTGCCAGGAGCACCTGGCAATGTGCTCACTTACTGAATTACAGTAATGAAAAGAATATCAGATGCTAAGAGGTAGTTATAAGACCTTACTGATGTATATACTTTGCAGACCAAACGCTGCTTTTAACATACCCAGCTACGACCCAGCCCTCTTTCCCTTAACGAGGGGAGAAAACATTAACTGTGAGTTCTTACTGCCAGGGAAATCTGAACTCCTGAGTAGTTATTAACCATAGATCCTACTGTTCTCAGCCAAACGCTGTTTTCCTTTTCCTCCAAGCACTCAGCAGCATGACAAAACTATGCAGGGAGAGAAGGGTGTGGGAGCTGCACCCTGCTGCAGAGAGACACTCGTGGGATTGTGCTGGAGCTTTGCAGGATGCTGGATATCTGCAGCTGGATATCTGAAGTGGGAACAGCAGCTGGGGGACCGCTCCTTTTTAATATGCAGTAATTTCTAAATCGCATTTCATTCTCTGTAGCAGAAATACGTGAAAATGGTCTTTAGTTTTAAGTGGCTCTGTGGGTGTTCTCGCATTGCTGGTGGGTGAAATCCTTAAGTGGCTGCAAACTGAGCAAGGTTTGGGTCTGAGGTTTGCTGCTATGAGACAACAGAGTTCCCATTGCATCCCAGCTTTATATCCGGCACCGATTTGGGATTCTCCTCATGTCTGTTGGGTGAGGACTGTTTGATTTATGGGCTGGTTGAACGTAGCTCTGTAGATGTGGACATGGCTGCTCCTCCGGCCTCCATGAGTGTGGAGCATCATTGCTGGGATAGGTGGTGGTGCTCCATCCCTGCAGACACCCGAGGTCAGGCTGGATGGGGCTCTGAGCACCTGATGGAGCTGTAGGTGTCCCTGTTCACTGAAGGGGAGATGGGCACAGAGCAGAGCAGTGCCCTTGGCTTTACCCCATGGAGAAGGATGATGACCATCCGTCCAGAGACAGAACAGATTTTCTTAGGAGTACACATGACACTGGAAGAAGAGACATGTTTTAAGTACAAGGGCTCCTCTGCACATTTTATTCACCTTTTAGACTTCTGTTGATCTCTGGGCTAACGCTGCAAGAGAAGGACCTATAGTGACTGTAAAGACTCAGGATGTCTTTCCTGAATGATAATAGCTCAATTAGAGCCAGTCATTAGGTAGATATGGCTAAGGTCATCTTCTCTATGTACTTTAGTTGGACATTTTCTTGCTAGGTCTTCTGCTGACTCTTTGCAGTCAGCTTAAAATTTTTAGCTTCTCAGCAAAGTTTTCCATTACCAGCAAGCTGCCCGGCCAAGGTCCCCCAGAGCACCACCATGTCCCAGCAGTGACCTCTCCTCACTATGAAAAGAAGAGCTTCAAGCCTCCAAATTCTCTTGCAGCCAGCTGCTAAGCCATGACATACTTTGTTCCTTTTTCACACTACTTTTATTTCTTTCAGAGCTTTTACGTGGCAAAATTCAAATGAGATCCTGATATGTGATCATGTTCATTGGCTACTTCGGAGGGTGTGAACATGCTATAAACTTTGACTTCTGTCTGCAAAAGCTGCTGTTGCCCTCTCCCCAGTGTATCAGGCTCATCAGATGCATCCCTATGAATCTATATTGACTTGTTCGATGTTGTCATATCTGAATCTCTTTAAAATCCTTTGCCTTTGGCAAACAGTTCTGTAACATCCTTTCAGCTTTTTTTGGTTGTGGTTTTGTATTCGATGCTGTTTATGCCTTTATTCTCTTTGCCCTGCTTAGATACAGTTATTTGATAGCTGCTTTTTCAACTCTGCTGCTTCACTAGACTGCTTTGTAAAAATCTGGTAGGGTCTTTAGCAAGGACTGCTCTGTGTTAATCCCAAGCCTGTAACTCATTCTTAAGCTGCTGCTGCGGGATTTGAAATCATGTCATGCTTTTCACTCTTCCACTTTTTTCCTCATGTCATTTCCCTTTCTAAATTTTAGGTGTTTCTGTGAATCAAGGACCATTACACAGCATGGTGCTGCACAGGAATGCAACGGAAACCTGTGCACCTGTATATCACCAGACCTGATGTGTGTCCTGTCGGCTTTGTGTGCAACACAAGCCTCAGGTACAACAGCAAATTATGTCTTTCAGTACTTTTGCTGTATTTCAAGCTCACTCCCTAAGTCCTGAATCATGAAAGCGCTGAATTACTTTGAGCCCAGCACATCTGTAAGCACTTTGCTGAATTACAGCCTTATTAATCTTCCTGTATTTTAAATATATATTTTTAAATCACATTTTAAAAACAAATGGGTATGCACTATTTCTTCGTGTTCAGGATTCTTCTTTGGACACTGATTTGAATGCCTTCCTGGCTTTGCTGGATATTCCTGCTGAAAGGTGCACCAGGAAGCTGCTGTGAGAAAGCTGGAGGATGCTCCCCAAAAAAGCTGCCATGTGGAGACATTCTGAAGGCGAGAGCACAAGATATATTCAGCTTAAAAATAACAGAATCATAGAATCACTAAGGTTGGACAAGACCTCCAAGATCCCCAAACCCCAGCTCACCCTCACCATGCCCACAGACCACATCCCCCTGTGCCACATCTCTATGATGCTTAAACACCTCCAGGGACGACGACTCCACCACTTCCCTGTGCAAACGTGGCTGTAGATACATTTCTCCCTTATTTCAATAGATCTGGGGAGAAATGCAGCTCTTTGTTGTTTTTGTTTTTGTTTTTTTTGCCCGCTCCTGTTGCAAAGAGGAACGTTTGGGGCTGTAGGAAGTGTCAGACCTGCAGCTGTGACTGTAGGGGATGTGGGGCAGCTCCTCGCTCCATCTCTACCTCGTTGCTCTCACCAGCAAATTAAAAGCAGGTTTTTGGTGCTGAGAGTTTTTGGTCCTTGGGAGATGCAGGAAGAAAATCAGTGCTTCGGTAAGAAAGTCTCCAAAAAGTGCTAGAAAACAAGAAAGAAGAAAACACAGACTAAAACAGACTTTCAAGGTCCTTCCTCCATTCCCACGAGGCGGTTGGTGGGGAAGCAGAAAATGCCATAAACCCAACCTGATCCAGGGCTTTGGGGGCTTAACAGGAAACCTGAGCTGAGAAGTGCGTCGGAGCGCCTCTTGGAAGACAATTTAAGTTTGTTTATGTGGAAAGCAAAGCGAAGGACTTGCGTTCGGGGGGGAGAAGGGGGAGAACTTAAAGAGGATGCAGCCAGGAGGTTTGTTTTTCTCACTGTTTTCTAGGCTGTATTTGTTTTCTCTGACAGTGACTTACAGCTTGGCTTTCTTTTCTATTTTGTTAGGGCAACGAAGAAGATAAATCCGTAATAATTCAGCTCTCTGTCTTTAATAAAACCTTGTCTTCTTCGCACAGCCCCTGGGAAGATCTCCATTCCGCAGCCCTGTGAGATTGGCTGGCTTTTTCCATTTCACCTCTTCACCAGGAATGGCAGAAAAACAGCATCGCTGTGAAAATTAATAGCAGAAAAACAGCATCGCTGTGAAAATTAAGAGCTAAGTGTGATTTCAGCCATGGGAAAGCTCTGGGCAGGAGAAGCCGGGCCCACTCCTGCTCTGTGCTCAGGGAAGATTTTGGGTGAAGACCAACAATGACTTTTCCTTGCTCTTGGTGCAGAGAGCTCGAGCTGAGTGAATACCATTCTAGGGCTAAATCCCGCCGGGTTTGGAGGGAATAGAAGGAAGGCCGTGCTGGGGGCAGCTGAGCTGTGAGCAGCACTGGGTGTGAGCCCACAGAAAGTTTGTGTTTATCGCCACCTGAGCCCCAAACCAGCTCCCCCCACACCGTGCTGACTCTGGACACTCAACTCCCATCTTGGACACCCGGTCCCACCTCCCCACACAGTCCCACCCCCGCTAACCCTCAGCGCGGCCCCTTTAAGAGCGGCCCCGTCCCCTTTACTCTATGTTTACATAACAGAGCCGGGCCGTACCACTCGCGGCCGGAGGAGGGGGGGAGCGCGGCGAGGCGAAGGGGCGGTGCTGGCGGGGGGCGCCCCCTCCGCAGGCGGTAACATAGAGCGGGGCGCGAGGGCGCCGCTTGGCTCCTCCCATCCACCCCCCCGCCGCCAGCACTTGGTACGCCCCTCGGAGTGTAGTGTCCGCGGTCGGGCGACCGCCGGCTCAGTGCGGGGCGCAGCGCGGAACCCGCTCGGGAGCTGCATCCGGAGCTGGGTGATCTCGGCGGCGGCCGCCCCGATGTTTTCCCCCAGCCAGGAGGAGCACTGCGCCCCGAACAAGGAGCCCGTCAAGTACGGGGAGCTGGTGGTGCTGGGGTGAGCGCTGCGGTCGGGCCGTCCTGATGGGGGGGGAGGAGGAGGAGGAAAGCGGGGAGGGGGAAGGGGCTCAGAGCTCCAATGGAAGTAACTCCATTAGGGCGCAGCGTCCGACTCAGTCTCGTAAAGAGCCGTGCGAGCTGCTTTCCTCGTGAAAATGGAGGGTAAGCCGGGCTGCGCGGCCCCGCCGCTAACAATGGTGCGGTGTAACGCCGTGTCACCTCGGGTCTTTAATTACATCGGGGCTGCTGTTGTGCCGCGGAGGCTTTTTGTGCGCAGCTGGAAGCGTTTTCCTCTCCGTTGCTTCGCTGCGGCTGAAAGTAACAGAAGTACGGGATGTTTTGGCTCCGATCTTAACGTGTGGAAAAGCACCGATCTGCGCTTATCGCTTCTGCCCGAGCTCCCGCTCCTCCCTGCCGCGCGTTGGGACGCCGATACGATGAAATAAACTTCGTACGGCGCGGTGTGGGTTTGGGATTTGAGTGATGTGGTGCCGAATACGCACATCTCGTCCTCGTCGTGCGCGGCGGCTGGCTGCGGGCTGAGCTGTGCGCCGAGCTGCGCGCCCGCTGCCTTTGTGGGCAACGCTGATGCGGAGCGCCGCCGTTCCCCTCCGCCGAACGCCTTGCGATGGAGGAGCGACAGGCGGGGGGCAATGCGGTGACTTCACTAATTCCGTTTTTCGGTGGGTGAAGAGCCGTTTAACGCCGTAAAAGCCGATTGCTGCCTTTCCCGCGAGGTGTTTTAACCTGGGAGTAATCCTAGAATGGCCTGGGTTGCAAAGGAGCGCAATGCTCATCCAGTTCCAACCCCCTGCTCTATGCGGGGTCACCAACCAGGCTGCCCAGAGCCACATCCAGCCTGGTAACACAAACTTACTGTTTTCTTCTTTGGTGACTCAGTGTTTGCAGCTAGAACAGAGCAAGCATCTGTCGGGCAGCGTTAAAAATACATGTATTAATACCTGCCTTGTATTAAAAGCACACAATCTGGAGTTTAGTGTAATTAAGGCAGTGTAAATCTGCTCTCTTCGAAGTGAAATGGAGATCTGTAAAATGCAGAATCCTGGCACTGCAGCTCTTGTCATAGCCGCTTGATTTAAACGGTTAGAATGACCTCACAGCTAATTTGAAGAAGTTGTTTTGAGATTCCACATAGCTCTAAAAAAGAAGGGGGAAAGAAAATGACACAGAAGTCATTCATCAGTGTCATAACCCTCTGGAGCTGTAAGACTTATAAATTAGATAGGGAGAATGGTGATGAACAAAGGAGTTGGCCTACCTGGTGAACTGCTGAGACCTCGCTTTGTGATTTGATAAAACTTTCATCTTTTGGGCAGGGAGGTGATTGTCCCTCTCTACTCTGCCATTGTGAGGCCCCATCTGCAGGACTGTGTCCAGGTCTGGGGCACCCAGTACAAGAAAGACAGGGAGCTGTTGCAGAGGGTCCAGAGGAGCCACAAAGATGATCAGAGGGCTGCAGCACCTCCCCTACAAAGACAGGGTGAGGGAGCTGGGCTTGTTCAGCATGGAGAAAAGAAGGTTGCAGGGTGAATCATTGCAGCCTTCAGTATCTAAAGGGAGCCTACAAACAGGAGGGGAGTCAACTCTTGGAAAGGGTGAGTGACAGCAGGACAAGGGGAAATGGTTTGAAGTTGAGGGAGGGCAGATTGAGGTTGGATGTCAGGGGGAAGTTGTTTGCTATGAGAGTGGTGAGGTGCTGGAACAGCTGCCCAGAGAGGCTGTGGATGCCCCGTCCATCCCTGGAGGTGTTCAAGGCCAGGTTGGATGGGGCCCTGGGCAGCCTGGGCTGCTATGAAGTGTGGAGTTTGGTGGCCCTGCCTGTGGTGGGCCTCATGATCCTCGAGATCCCTTCTAACCTGAGCCATCCTATGGTGATTCTGTGATTCTTTTGCTCCTGCTCTGCCTTAGCAGTATTGCAGCGGGGTTCTACTGTTCCTGGTGTTAACATCAAGGGGAACGTGTTCCCTTGGCAGGAGGTGTTGCTGTGTTCTGCAGGCAGCGTGGCTGCTCGTCTGCAAGCAGTGTGGCAGTTCTTGTTTGGTGAAGGGTTTCTTGAGATTTACATAATCTGTGTTGTAGTGAGCAAAAGCAGTTTATATAAATCAAGCCAGACAGGTCAAGATGGCTGGTAAAGAAGAGATCATCTGGTTGTGTACATCTGCTCCTAACATCATCTGTTCACAGAGGGCTGTGGCTTTTTTGATGAAGTGGAGGCATCTGTAGTCTTTTTATTTTTTTCCTTAAAGCCTTTATTTGAAGTCCCTTCAGAGCAGTGTTCCATTAAATGCTTTGTGGAACATGGGACTGGAGGGAGTTGTGAAGGAGAAGCTGAATGCAGTAGCAAGCACCTCAGTAGAGCATTGGGGTATTTAATGAACTGGTTGGCTGGTCTGGTAGCTGCTCTCACACAGAGCTGTATGGGGTCAGAGCTGTGCTGGAGAAAACCAAACCATCTCCTTGAGGGGACTGCATCTCTGCAGACTTTTCCACTATTTAGTGGTGTCAGTGTGCTGTTTTCAGATGATAAGATCATAGAATCACAGAATGGTTTGGGTTGGAAGGGACCTTTAAAATCATCCAGTTCCAGCCCCCTGCTATAGGCAGGGTCACCTCCCTCTGGACCTGGTTGCTCTCAGCCCCATCCAGCATGGCTTTGAAAAGATGGTGTAAGCTGACACAGGAATACCAGGGAAGCATGTCTTAGAGGCAGAGATTTCTAGCAACAGGAGGATTTTGGCCCTGATGTTCAAGAAGCAATTCAGTATAGAATCCTTCGGGTTGGAAGGCTCTCTTGAAGGTCATCTGGTCCAACTCCACAGCAACACCACCTTGCTGCCAGGTTAATGAGGAAAACTGGACACCCTTCTGAACAGACATGCAGTAGTTCTGCTTGAAGAAACTTTCTGAAAAAAATATAAAATTCTGATCCATGTTTGCAGTGATAAATTCTGCCTTAACTTCTGGGAAGCTGTCCTCATTGATGGATCACCCAATACTATTAGCAGTTCAGATTTGAAGCAGGTCTTTTTGTGTTAATCCGGGACACCTTCTTTTTTTTTTTTTTTTTTTTTTTAGACCCTTGTTTCTCATACAGGCTTTTTCTGACTGCTCCAAGTTCCTCTTAATCACTACCTTCTTGATAAGCTAAATAAAATTCTCTAAGTATTTCCTATGTTTAAGCGTGTTTCCAGTTGTTAAATTATCTGTTTGGCTTTTTTAGAGCTCTTTTGTTCATCTCCTTGAACTGCACAGCAAGGGGGGCTGCTGCAGTGTGCCAGTAATGCTGCTGAAGGCAGAAGCAGTGTAGCATCTGTGCTTGTCCTTGGCATCTGTTTGCTTCTGCTTATGGGCTGAAGGCATTGAGGGTCATCCTGGCTGTGGCATCCTGCTGGAGAATTACCTTGTGCTTATATGGATTTGCTGTTTGATACAAACCTAAGGCTTGTAGTGATTCTGTAACTTTCCATGCTGTATGATGTGGGTGTGTTATCGGAGCTGCTTAGGTAATTCTGCTTCTGCTTTGGGACCTTATTTTAAAATGTGCATTAGGCTTCATTGATGGACTTGAGTTTTTTGTTTTCTTAATGAAAGCCTGTTCATGGTTGCGTAGAGCAAAGATTCTGCTTCACTTACAGTAAGAAAAAAAAACATATCTGAGTTCATTCTCTGTGACTATCATTCCTTGGAGTACTTCTGACTTCCTCAGCATGCAGATTTGTATTCAGCTATAGGCTTTATTTACAGAATCACAGTATTGATATCAAACTGGAGAACAGAAAGAGACGGGAAGCAAAATACTATGTAGAACAAAGCAAATTGGAGCATCAGGTATCTGTGTGTTGGACGCCTGTTATGGAGAAATAAAATGAGGTGCTTCTGGGAAGTGGTACTACTCCCTCTGGCACGTGCAAGGCTGTAGGTCACACATGTAGAAGCAGAAGACAGTAGAATCCTAGAATGGCCTGGGTTGCAAAGGAGCACAGTGCTCATCCAGTTCCAACCCCCTGCTATGTGCAGGTCGCCAACCAGCAGCCCAGGCTGCCCAGAGCCACATCCAGCCTGGCCTTGAATGCCTGCAGGGATGGAGCATCCACAACCTGCTAAGGCAACCTGTTCCAGTGCCTCACCACTCTCTGACTGCTGCTTTCCTACCTTGGCAGAATCAGGGATTCTTAGCTTCCCATTTTCAGTTAGAATTTATAAATGAGTAGATAATGTGAAAGTCTGCTTACCTCTAATTTACAAAAAAAAAAAGCCTATAAAACTAGAAATGACTTCCTAAACTACTAAGATTAGCTTTTTGCTACTGAAAGCAGTATCTTATTCAAGCTCCTTCATGCTCCATTGTAACAGCAGGCTGTTTCTCAACTGTGATTGCAAGGTTGCTAGAGAACAGATTTTTTCCTAAGAGGTTAGGAACTTTTGGCTGTTTTATACTCACTTATTATGGAGTTAATGTTGCCCTTTAACTTGCTTAATCATTTCTCAGCAGTTATAGCACGTATCGACTTGATGCTTTGGGAAGATGCAGCCTTCTTTTTGTGTACTCCACGCTAAGGAGAAGCTGGCTGAGTGTGAGCCAACCTGCCTTGCTGAAGGTGGAGTTTATTAGTTGAGAGTGCCAGCAGA